AAAAAAGAATAAACAGAATGTCATCAAGAATTCATGATTGCACTGTTGACCTTTTGGTGTGCACTTCTTGTTTTCAAAAATGAGAGCTTTAATATGCAGTTGGGTTTCTATATTTGAAGGCCCTTCAAAGTTGTAAAATTGTGAGCTCAACCAAAATGGACAATCACACTTACCTCATCACTTTCGACAAGGTTTTCAAACTGGCAAAATTAACACAAATGCAGCAATTAGATAAATAATGTACAGGAAACACAAAAAGAGAGTCAAAGTGGAAATTGTACCTCTATTGTATAATGCTCCCCAGTGCTGCTGCTGCGAAAGTATTTGGACCTGTAAGAACACACATTACAAGCAATGACAAATGCCAAACACTGCACTTACTCAGACAGTTGACTGATAAAAACATGAGAAAGCTTTGCTCATTTGGTAGTCTGACAAACAGGAGATGAATTACAACTATTAGTTATTAAAACCAATGTGAAGTTTTCTTAACACTTGCCGTTTATTTCAAACGTGCGAAAGTTTGTCTTCTGTTTTTTGAGGGCGTCACCAACATAGCCAGACTGTCAGCAGATAAAAACATGACTGAAATGGAGAAGTAAAACATCATTCGAGGCTGCTGGACTGTGTTGGGAATCACTTACTCGTTCCCGACTACCTAATCACTCTGTGGTGCTTTTTATGTTGATGACAATGTAGTTCACTCATCAGCCAAATGGAAAATTTGTTTTCCATCGTGATGTCATTAATGCTAGCTGGTCGACCTTATGTAATAAATATTGATCAAATATGAATTATACGGGTGGTACGGTGGGCAACTGGTTAGCACGTCCGCCTCACAGTGCAGAGGTGCAGTGTTCGACTCTGGCTCCGGCCTTCCAGTGCGGAGGTTGCATATTTTCCCCGTGCCTGCTTGGGTTTTCTCCGGGTACTCCGGTTTCCTCCCACATTCCAAAAACACACATGGCAGGTTAATGGAACACTCTAAATTGCCCCAAGGGAGTGATTATCAGTGATTTCTAAGTAATCATTTCCCCCCATTGGTGTATACAGGCAAGTCCGAATTTAGAGTTGCAATCCACCTCAGTGTAGTACCATGCTGTGCCGCAACATATCGAGCAGCACAGACGTCTACCGGAGCAGATGCAGAAAAATCAAGATCAAGAAGATGACAGAAGCAAGAGAATATTTACGCTAATCTCCATCATTACATTGATTGTTATTAATCTTAGCGGACTTCCAATGTGGTTTGCGTGACGATTTTGGTATTTATCCGTCTGAGTTTAATCATACATGGCAATGGCGAGTGATGAAAAAAGCGGAAGGGGCGTGGCCTGGACGGGGGCGTGGTTACTTACAAAAGTGGCACTAAACATGCTGAAGATGAAGTGTATTAAATTTACACAGTTTGAAAATTGAACAGAAAAAAATCCCAAGATCGCCACTATTCTTTCAAGTGAAAATTTGTGCAATTTTGCCTATGCATTCCTGGTGAGCACCAATATGTAACTCCAAATTTGCTGCTCAAAATCAAAACTAAAAAAGTAAACACATTCCCTGCCATATTTAAGATTTGTTCATGACTTGTATTCATAAAGTGTTGTGTAAATGTGATAAAAAGCTGTTGATTTTTACCTCATACAGTGATAGTGAATATTTATTATGCATACAATTTATTATGCATAACCGTGCTTTATTATCCAAGACAAAACGTGAATTATCAATATGAATATAAAACGCAAATAAAAACAAATAAATGTTATCATGCTGTTGCTACAAATGCATACCAAATAAAATTGAAAATATCATCCTCGTATATTTGAATAAAAAAGTATATACCTCGGAGTGTACCTGTCTATCGGCGAGGGGCGTCAGTGGAGCAGATTTCGTTGCTTGGTTCAGCCAAAGTAAGTACCCCAGCGTGTAACGTCTTTAGTTGTATCCGCTGACTAAGTTTGTTTGAAAAATGCCGATCCCAAAGAATAATTGCTCCGTCGAATGGCGATTTTGTCGGCATGTTTTTTCACTTTTGTTGCATGATCTGTCAGTGCCACGCATCCACAGGAGCCATAGTTAATTAAGTCACTACAATACACACAATAAGCTTTGCCTGCTACGTCTGGTTTCTTCAAAAATTGTCCAAGAGCTTCTGTAACTTCGTCGAACTTGGAACCAATTTTAACCTTTACAGTGACTTTTCTGTCAAGCCAGTCCAATCGGAATTTATTCTTGACATTTGAGTCAATTTCTAGGATTAAAGACTCCTGATCTTTCGTCAAAAATTTCATAATTCCGCTCAAAACGATCCCAGAACAATGAATTTGCGAGACGAACAGGCCGCCATGAATCAGGTAAAACAATATGTTACATGCAATTTGATTGGTCCAATCGCTTGTAGTTAACCAATCGCTGGGCCGTTTATAATCGAGCTAAGACTTCCGCAACAAATAATGCCTTAGGTGATCTGATTAGTTGAAGCTTTCATACACGTCCAATCGCAGGGCTGTTTACAAACGGAAAACGGAGAGACTGTTCGGGAGAGCTCGTGAAAACTCGACGATAAGGTACCTGACCGCCCCTAAAATTTTCTCAACGGATTTAGACGATTCACAAAAATGATCAATTTAAGAAATAAAACGGCGGATTTCCGCGGATCCGCGGAAAATTGCCATGTATGTTTAATGCTGGCCATTGTGTGTACTTTCTTGACCCCTTTTAGCTGTGTTACTATATATTATGAAAAAGCACCCTAAGGCGGGGAATTTTGTCACACTTTGTAATTTCCAATTTAAGATCTTTAAATATAATCTGTTTGCATCAAATTGCACAACCTTGGGCTCATTGAAACCCATGAAAACAAAGTGAATTAATTCATTGATATTTACGCGATTAAATGATACAATTTCGGTCAAACTGGTTTCATTCGAGACTCAACATTGGCAAATTTTAGTTTATGTTTTCAACCAGATTAAATCATTTATCTTTTATGTATTTATTTTTCTTACATGGGAGCAATAGCATGTAATATGCTTAGTTTCTAAAAGAGGCATTTAATCGCTTACAGTACTCCAACAGAGCAATCAATGATACAATTTTGATTTCAAGAAGTGGTCATTCCCTCTGCTGACCATGGAGAATTATATTTTAATTTAAGAAGTTGGAAAAAAAATCACCTATGGCAGGGGATGATCTCCCACTGTAAATGGAGCTGCTGCTTTTTATTTTAAAAACGATGCCCATGTGTGTTGTTGTGTGTTGATGTACTTTTTACAGACAGTTTTGTGCTGCAAATCTGAGATTTGACTCATGTCATAAAATCCAACAAAATTGTGTCCCTGTATCAGTGTATTGCATCATGGAATAAAACATACTAGCTTTTCCAGTGGCCATAGTTCACGACTTTTTCAAGATGTATTGGGGGTACATTGAGGACACTCTTAAGGACAACAGTTCATGATTCCTGGCATTCTAGTGACGTCAGAAAAAAAGCCATTGTTAAAATAAACTTGAGCAGCCACGCAGGGTAGAATAACACTTAGCCCCTGTTGATTCAATAACTACAATTACAAGACCCCAGTGGACGCGAGTGACTCCAGCGGACTTATTGAAACCAATGTCAAGAGGTACAGTCACAAGGGTGGGGTTTTGAGGTCTGCTGACAGACAGACTGCAGGTTCAGAACCCACTAACGGGGGGATCAGGATGCTTTACTTTTAACAATTAGTTTCAAAAGGCACACTCGTTTATTTGAGGGTAACGTTAGCAGGAAGCGAGTTCCCCGTTTTAAATGATGCTGTCAAGCTAATTAACTCCTTTAGCCAAGCTCATGTGTTACTTACCCGCCTCCTCTTTGGATCCTATTAGCCTCTCTTCTGAAGAGTCCTACGCAGAAGGCCCAACAGTTACCCATGGCATTTTAAAATATTACAAGGATGTAGCTGCCCCGCGTGTACTTGGCAGCAAAGGATCTTAAATCTCCAGCACTACACACTAGTGCTCTTCTTGAGGGAACGAGAGCTGGAGCTGGAGCACTTCCTCATCCTCCTTCTCTTTTCGGTGACAGCAGGGCGATTATCATTACCGCCACCTACTGTCTCGTTTGTGGTAATGTCTTGGTTGCGCCTTGTACATTTATTTGCACTTGTACAAAAAGGAACTTGTAGATCTCATCTGCGCATGCGTGAGTCAATCACGTTTAAAAATGGCTACCACTCAAACGGTCATTGAAATTTGGTGTGAAAGTAGTAGTACAGTTATATGCCTATCTGTACAAGTTTAAGCTTGCAAGCATTGTACTCCAAGCCTTCAAGCCTTAGGTGTCAAAATGGCTCATCCACTTTGTTCCTTGTTTTACTGCTCGGACGGAATTTAGAGGCCTTAATATTGGTGTAAAAAAAAAAAAAACACCATTGCAAAGTTCACCCAAAGATGGAAAAAGTAAATTGTAAACTTCCGTTCATTGTTCATAATTTCCCCAGAGAAAAGAAAGACCCAGACAGATGTAAAAGATGGACTCAAATTGTAAAATTATTGAAAGGGAACAGACACAGGCTAAGTACTCTAAGCGAGCTAGCAGACAGCGAAACTAATGCAGAGACAGAACATGGGACCAGTCCGACAGAAAACATTTTCTAGTCAGTGTCACAAAGAAACATGTCCACATTTACATATTGACTAGCTGAGTGTTAGGCTGCCTTCAGATCACTTCACGTTACATGGCAAGAATTTGCCATGACGCTGCCTCGCGATTAACACCAAGAACTCCTAATGATCCTGACAGGATCATTATCAGGCTTCTGCAAAGCATGCTCATTTGAATCAGGTGTGTTGGAGGAGGGAGACATCGAAAACAGGCTGGATAGGGGCTCTCGAGAACAAGATTTGGGCACCCCTGGTTTAGAGGCTCCCTTGAGATTTCAACCGTAGATATCATTAAGCTTAGAGTGTGGATCCCATGGATTACAAGTGGAAGGCTGATTCATCATTTCTGAACAAGAATGTACATTTGTAAAATGAGGCAAAACACAGGCCATGAGCCAGAAGACTTTATTATAAAATACATATGATGAAATTACCTGTATATTGTACATACACTGTATAAAAAGTACTGTCATGCCATTAAGATACGATTCATGTACTTTAGTGCAGTGGTTTTCAAACACTGTGACATATTGTTAGGTGTGCTGTGGGAAACAAGCTCGTGCATGAGCCCTGAAAGCAAGTTACCATGTCGCTGAATTTGTGGCTACATTTAAAAAAAAAAAAAAAAAAAAAAAGTCCCAGTGGCAATGTAAATGAGACGTTCGGACCCAAAGCAGCTAAAGAAATAGCCTTGCTGCTGTAAAAACTAATAACAGAGAACGACTGAGAGCTGTGGAGGAAGAGCAGTGTGCGTCTTTCACCAATTGCTGCCAGGATATCAGATTTGAGTTCATCCAAACTATTTATCACACTGAGTAAGAATAAATATGAAAGAGTATAAAATATTTGATTCCTATCCAAGGTGTTGTAATTTTACACTATTCTTCAATGTTAAAAAACGCTTAGAATAACAATATAACACTTGAATTGTTAAAATAAGCTTTTTTCACATTTTTGGCAAGTGGTCTGCTGTGGGATTTTTTCAATCAAAGAAATGTGCCATGGCTCGAAAAAGATGAAAAAACACTGCTTAAGTGCATAAAGGTAGTTGATAATTTCCCACTTTTATACATACATCTGCTAATCTCTGATAGGTCGCTAAATCACCACTTCCGAAAATTGGCAGGTTTGCACCTGATCGCTGCACGCTGCCTTGCGATTAACACCAAGAGGTCCATGTGTAGAGTGAAAAGGCCTAAATGAGTACTTTGGCAATTTAAAAGCAAAGGTAACTTCAAAATATTCAGGTTGAATCTTCTGAATTTGGACCATCCCTAGAATTCTGGATTCGCATTTGCATCTCAATTGTCTGTTTGTTGTTGATGCCATGTGCGCTCTCATTTCATTGATAAACTGTAAAAAAACATTTTCAGATGCTTCACACTACCACACACATGATGACGAATGCATACGCTTAGCTTCGGTGCTACAAATATGGTGGAAGGCAGCCCATGTGACAGGGATGTTTTCAAATACAAAGAACTTTTTGGTCAGTAGTAAAAAAAAAAAAACGTCTTTGAAATTTCGGACTAGGGCAAAATTGCTGGTGTATTCGATTCAATTAAGACTAGTTTCTTGCTTCAGAGCTTGAGGTATTTTAGCTGCTTGGGGGGTTGGGATACGGGGCAGCCCCAGGTGGCCGTGAAGTGTGCTGTCTCTGCGCTCCAGGTGGAAGATCATGATCCTAGAAGCTTCGGGTCCTTTCTTCCTTACCGTATCGATCAGTGCACGTGCTCTGTGTGTTTGAATCACGTGCCCCTGAATTATTGCATCTCTCTCACCCTCATTCAGGCTTGCGCCCAAAAGGTCACTCAACAATTGATTCGTAACTTCTGCACTGACCCGCTCCGCAAAATCAGTGCTCACTCGTCGAAGCTCCTCATCTAGAAGGATTAAAAAAAAAAAGAAGTAACTTTCCTCATGACTCTTGTTTGTAAAGTTGTTAAACTATAGTTGCGTTCACACGCGCACATTTGCTTCGGTGCTGCTTCGCAAACGAGCATTTGCTTCAGAGCAAATTTTTAAACCACCTCCCTGAGGTGGATCAAATTTAATGCGCACTAGGCTGTTGAGCGGCGCTACGTCGAAGTAAATTTGAACGCTCCACTGGCGTAGAGTCGGTGCAGCGTCGGAGTAAATCTTGCCGTGTGAACAGGGCTTATGAGACTTAACTTTCAGCAACATTCAAAAATTAATGTGTCCTCATCATTACAGTCCAAAACCTTTCTGTCACATTTAAGATTTTTGAAATATTTGTGGAAATAGAACATTAGTTGAGCAAGTCCATCAAAAAACATGATTTCGTGCAAAATTACTTTTTTCTCATTATGCATTTTGCCCCGCTGATGTGACTGTAACACTCGTTTGTAAAAACAAAAACAAAAACAAAATTAGCTTTGAAGGTTAAAGAATTGAGTAGCTTTTCTCTCGTTTCCACACTTGCACCTGCTCATATATCATGTTAAAACTGTTTTGAGAGCGGCTCAGTGCTCCAGTGTTTAGCGTGTCGACCTCACAGTACAGAGGTCGGGGGTTCGATCCCGGCTGCGGCCTCCTTGTGTGGAGTTTACGTGTTCCGCCCGTGCCTACGTGGATATTCTCCAGGTACTCTGATTTCCTCCCACATTCCAAAAATATGCATAGCAGGTTAATGGAATACTCTAAATCAGGGGTCCCCAACCTTTTTTGCCCCACGGACCGGTTTATGTCAGACAATATTTTCAGGGACTGGCATTTAAGGTGTGGCGGATTAATACAACAAAATAATATGGTATGAGCTGCATGAAAACGGTGGCGTTTTCGAAATATAATAATAAACACAAGGAGCGTCTAATCTGGTCGCAACACTCTTATCGCTAATGTTTAATGCCTTCAAAATACGATACAACACAAATTCAAAGTGCATGAAAATGACGACTCACCACAGCCCCGAGCTTGATTTTCTGCAATCAGACAGTCCCATTTCGGGGTAATAGGAGACAATGACACCTCAAGTTTGTGCTTTATGTCCAGTCTACTTCGTAATTTTGTTTTAGTCGCCGTTGCTGCAGAAACTCCCCACCTCACACAGGTAGGATGTCAGAAATAGCAACAGTGCTATTGTGGCGATCTCAGAGTATTCAGCCATAACTTTAATCCAGTTGTCTCGAATGTACTGTTAAGGCCGCCATCATTTGCGATCTCCAAGCAGCTTTTTTACTCATTTTGTGGGCTTCAGCGTTTTGTTTTTGAGCGTCATCGGTCACGTGACCGAGAAGTGTGGCTTGACGTGGGTCAAGCGTGACACAGACGGATGTAACGGAGAATCCGGTAATTTTTCAAAATAAAACATCTTTCGTATTCCAAAATAAATAAAACGGAAATAAGGCAAGTTCTTTCTGTGCGGCCCGGTACCAAATGCCCTGCGGACCGGTGCCGGTCCGCGGACCGGCGGATGGGGACCCCTGCTCTAAATTGTCCCATGGTGTGAGCGCGGATGGTTGTTTGTCTTTGTGTGCCCTGTGATTGGCTGGCAACCAGTTCAGGGTGTCCCCCGCCTACTGCCCCAAGACAGCTGGGATAGGCTCCAGCACCCCCAGCGACCCTTGTGAGGATCAAGCGGTTCGGAGAATGGATGCATGAATGGACAACTGTTTTGAGCTTTTAGCCGTGTTAAAATGCTCACCAAAAACATCTCAGAGATTTGTTTTCCTCCATTCACCCATCTCTGAGCATTCCTGCTCATGGCTGACCTCAAAGCACAGCGCCGCCCAATTCAAGACAACAGCTGGGTCCTCACTTTTATATGTCACAAAGGGAGGAGCCACTTTGCAGACTCAGCACACGCCCACTTTCTCACAGCAGCCAGCAGTGAAACACTTTCAATTTTACACTCTCTTTGGAATGACCTCCCACTGAAGGTTTAGCAAGCCCCCTCACTGGGGCTCATCTTTCAAACTCGTCTTAAAACTCATTTTTATTCTTTGGTTTTTGACTCAGCATGAGACTTGATTTGTAGTTTTACTCCTTTTGTGCTTTCTCCTGTCTTTGTTATTAATTTATGGTTTTATGAATTATTTTTGCTCCCTGTACAGCATTTTATATACAGCGGTGGTTGTTTTAAAGTGCTCGATAAATAAAGCTGAGGTGAGTTGAGAATAACAACATGTAATTTAACAGTATGAAACTTTTTTTCAAGCACTCCAGGTCGGCACCACATTACTATTTCAACTGCATGACAGAATATGCATTCCACTTCTTTTATGAATCACCTTGCATTAAAATGAACCATGCAGTTTGCAGGGGTACCATTTTGGCGAATACAAGACAATCTAGTTCTAGACACAAAGACGGGAACACCAGATATTTATCAAACTTTACTATGTTGCTCTGTTTCCCCTTCAATACCTTGAAATGGGCCGTCGGAGGTACACTTTAACCTGCTACTTTTTGTCACTTGGCACGGACCGGCGAATAGTGGTGCACGCATGTAGCTAGATGCGTTTGTGATAGGTTTTAGAAGCACAAGAAGATACACAATTCAAGTAAAATACAGGGCGCATCAAATACAGGGTGGCCATGGTTCAGGAGGTACAGCAGGTCGTCAAGTCACAGAATTCCGCTCTGTCCGAGTCATGTCTTTCGCCACCAGAGTGTGCATAAGCAATTGTGGACGCTTTGACTGTGTTACAGAAATGCCGCATAAGAATCTGATGCATTATTTTTTTTTTCAAATAGACTTAATATCTAAACTGGCATGTACTGTGAAAATACCATAAGACAGTTGTCCGACAGTCTCAACCTAACTCCACTGTATTTACAGAGCACTTTCAAACAGCCATCGCTGCATACAAAGTGCTGTACATGGAGCAACAGTAAAGCAATAAATCAGTAACAAAGATGGTAGAAAGCACCAAACAGCAAAACTAAGATAGAATCTGAGTCATGAACAGTCATGAGCTATAATCCAAAATATAGTAGCATCTTGTTAAATAAGTAAGTAAATGCGGTGTAAAACGCACACCACCCGCAAGAGGGGGACACGGGAGTGGAATTTCACTCCCGTCCAACCCCATCCTACAGAAAAAAAAAAATCCTTTCCCAGACCATTGTTCAAATAAATCCTATCCCGTCTGGGCGAATATATCTCCCATCCGTCCTGCACCTGTTCCTGTTCAGAATGACTCCCACTCCTGTACCACTCCCATTTGGGAGGTCAACTATATTAAAATAAATAAACCTAATGTTGCATTTAAATCATTTATTGACCAGTTTGTCACCCCCTTTCTCCTCATGGAGTCTCACTATTTTGTGCAATATTATTTTTTTCCTCCTGGATAATCCTGCTCTCTTCTGCTCCAGCAAACTTTTTATCCTGTACCGTCCCAATCCCGTAATTGGAGGTGAAATTGACTCCTATCCGGTGGGAATCCCACAGGATTACCGTGACCCACGGAATTCCAGAAAAAAATGTCAGCCTCTCCGACCCACTGTTATCCGATGGTTATATACTGTAATTCACTATACAGTACTATACTGTAAAAATACAATACAGTCGGTGCATTGTAAAATAACAGCAGATTGCTGACGTCCCTGTTGAAAGTAATTTACCGTTCTTTTACAGCAAATTTCTTTACAGTGTATAGTACTTTGGAAAGCTTAAAATAACATGTTCTGGCCCCTTTAAACAATCTTATTTTGATCAATATTTCTCGTAGAATCAATGCAAAAAATAAGTACAACAAAAATATACTCGCCATATGTCTTCAATTCAGGCACAGAGGCTGTGGAACATGTGTAGTCAACTGTCAGGGGGGCGAAAAAGCAGATGATTGATAATTTTGTAAAAATGTGTTGGTAACGTAGACAGACAAACACGCTGTACAGTAATCCCTCGTTTATCGTAGTTAATGGGGTCCAAAACCACGCACGATAAACGAAAATCTGCGAAGTAGTGACCAATTAAATATAAAAAAAAATATATATATATATATTTTTT